AAAACAAAAAGCCAAACTATAAAGTACTCACGGACCCACAAGCGACATCGTCCCCACCACGCCGAGTGACGGCCCACCCTCTTGCTCTGCTGCTCCGGCTTTCTCCGGTGCTGCTGGACACCCTGTCCGCTGGCCTCTGCACAAAAACAGGACTCATCAGCTCACCCAGACGCTCAGTGACAGCTTCACCTTCTCAAAGTTCTCAGGGCCATTCAGGAAATTGAGAGGGCAACTACAGCCCGCATTAAGACACAGAAAACAACCACCAAAATCCATGGCCCTGCTAGGCAGCTCCCACCATCTCCACAAAACCCTGCTCTCAGCGCTTCACTCAGAGGCGGCACGAGCCGGGGGGCGGGGCCGGGGCGAGCCGGGGGTTGGGCCGGCCCGATCCGGGGGCGGTACCAGCGCGAGCCGGGGCCGGGGCCGGCGCGAAGCGCGCGGCGGGGGACCTGTAAACGGCCGGCAATGATTCGTACACCTATCAAATCATTATTAATTGGAAACCGATTCCCTCATCTCTGTCCTTGTTTTTCTTGGCTGCAAAACCCGATGATCCCCACTGGCTACTGTTTAGGGTGCTTTTCTTCCACTGCTCTTTTCTCCCCGCTGAAACCTCCGGACATATTCAGAGCTTAGTTGGAGGTGAGCCCCTCTGAGGTATTTCCTCTCGTGCCAATGCTGTTGGATGAAGAAGTAAAGAAAACACGTCAAGAATTCCTTCTACCCCCTTCCTTTGCAAACGCCCTTCCAGTTTGTCTTGCACTCGAGCGCGTCCGTCCAATCGCAGCCCGCGCTGTCCCTGCAGCCCCGCCCGGCTCGCTCTGCTCGCCCGGCCCGGCCCGGCCCCTCCGCGCGGCTCCCGCCGCCGCCGCCGCAGCCCCGGCGGGCGCTGCTGGGACCAGGGAAAGGCGGGGGAGCTCTCCCGGGACAAGGGGAAGGGGGAGCGGCGGCGGAGCCTGCGGGGACAGCGGCGTTCTTGGAGACGGGCAGGGACGGGCCGGGCGGCCAGGGGGCGGGGCCAGTGCGTGCAGGGGGCCGGGGCCAGCACCATCCCGCCGCGTTTGGCTCTGGGCTTTGGGGTCCTTTTGGGCTCGATTTAGGTGCGGGTTTGGGGGGATTATGCACACTGTCCCGGGTCACAGTCCCGCCCCAGCTCGCTGCACCTGCTGCGCTCCCGCACCCCTTGCACTGCTGCAGGGACATCCCCCGGGGGGCTGCAGGACAGGCTGCACCGGGATGGCCCCACCCGCTCTGCCCGCCCAGCCCAGCCCGGCCCGGCCCCTCCGCGTGGCCCCACCCCCGTTCCCTCAGGGGCCGGTAGACCTGGTGTCCGAGTCGGACGGGTAGACCCGGTCTCTTTCAGGGGGTAGACCGGGTGTCTATGTTCAAATGGTAGACCTGCTCTCCTTTAGCTGGGGGCGGCACCGGCGCGGGCCGAGCGGCGGAGGAACTGTGAACGAGTGCCCACGAACACGCCTTTTGGACAAATGGAATAACATCACTCTCCTCCAAAAAACACAGGCCACGCAGGGCTCTCCAGCCCAAGGCACAACAGCCACCACAACTGCAGGGAACACAGCCAGACACACACAGCCATTCACACTTATTCCCTAAAGCCCTCTCTGCACTTGGGGCTCCTGCCTCTTGATTTACAAAGAACTGGGGGGGGGGGGGGGGGGAAGGGCAGCAGAGCAGGAATGCCCCTCAAAAACAGGGGCCTTGGCACCTGGAGCATCAGAGGAGGGCAGCTGGGAGGGGAGACCCAGACAGAGAACAGCAAGGGGGTTTCTTCAGGAACAGGCTGTATGTCCAGCAGTGATGGCAAATGCAAACACGGGATGCTGTGGGAATGCAGGGGGGGAGTATAGGACTAGCTCCGATGGATCCCTTTGCCCTTTGCTCAGGGGCCTCAGCTCCACCCTCTGAGAGCAGCAATCTGCTGCAGGGCAAGAGTTCATTTAGGCACAAGTCAGTGATGCGGCCACTGGGCAAAGGGAAGAGGGGAGAGGAACTGACACCAAAATCACACAATCACCACATTACTGGGACTTTACTGAGCTGCAACGCAAATACATTCACAGCAGGCCAGGGCAAGAGGTGCACACAGGACCACCAGCACAGCAGCTGGGCTTGCAGGAACACCCTCTCCTCAAGTTATAGAGCAAGGGGCTGACAGGTGGGATCCATCCTGGGGGACTGGAGAGCACTCAGACATCAGGGCCGAGTCCTACCTGGGCACTGCAAGCAGTTCAGCCCCAGCAGCAGTGGGAGTTTCTGCCTCTCCCTCCAAGAGGATTTGGGACCCAACAGCTCGTTGCAGAGGAATTTTATCTTCATTAATGTTTTACAAAGTTGAGCTTCAGGAGAACTGAGGCACTTTTCATTATTCCATACTCTTCCAGGACTTCACTTGCCCGGATCCTTTAGGCACGAGGAACCTTCTAGACTGCTCCAAACCTTCACGGTCCACTTGTTCTTCTTGCCACACTTGGACCAGCCCAGTGTCCCTGCAGAAAGAGAAAATTCAATGATTCTCTCTGAAACCAGAACCTCCCCTGCTTTGCTTTCCCATTCCATGTTTTGTTCCCTACACAACTGAGGCCCTTCCAGGCCTTGCCAACTGGCAGCCAAGGAATCCAACCCAAGAAGCTGCCAGGGAGCAGCCTCTGTGCCACAGGCAACAGCATTCCAGGCCTGTCACTGCCAACTCTCCGCTTCTCCCAACAGCTCCGGTGGCACCAGAACTTGTCCTGAAGGCAGAAAGGCTCCTTTTGGGAGCACCACGAGCTACCTATACTGTAGCACTGGAATTCCATCTCCTGGACAAGCTGGGAGAAGAAGGGAAGAAAGCCAGGACCTTACAGGTCAATTAGGGACATCCAGCAGCAGCTCCAATAAAGGCACTGAGTCAACACCTCACCAAAGACACCGGACAGCAAGGGCCAACACCTTGACAATCACTTCAGTTTTCAATTTATAAAGCCAAATCAAAGCAAAGCTTTTCAGACACTTGGGAAGAGTCCATGCCATTGCAACCAGTTTGTGGGACTCATTCCCAGCCTGCTGAGGTTCATTTCCCACCTCACTCGTGGCTGCACTAGACCTGGTTACACACACACACACAGAAGGAGCTGCTGCAACTTGTCCAGTTTCCTGCTTCTCCTTGAAACTCCTCCAGCTGTTTGCCCAGCTCTCCAGGGTCCATTCCTTTGCCCACTGGACTTGTTCCCAGCCCCAGGGCTGCCAGGGCCACCCTGGGCTCTCACCTGCCCTCACACTGAGTGACCTTTCCCAGCCCCGAGTCCATCCAGCACTGACCGAGCTGCTGGGGGCTGCAGTTCTCCCTGCTCCTTCCCTCCCTCTGCTCCAGCGTTTTCCCCTGTGGCGAAGAGGTGAATTAGTCTTTTTAAGGACCCAATGGCCAGAGGTGGGGGAAAAACTATCAGCATTCCCTAAACACCTCCAGCACTTCCATATCCATCTGCGACCAGGGCCAACCTGGGCTAGGGGAAGGTGTCCCTTCTCAGGGAGTGGGGCTGCATGAGCTTTAAGGTCCCTTGCAACCCGAACCACTGCAGGATCCATCACCATTCCACCATTTCTCCCTGCATTTGTTGTGCATCGCTTCCTCTCTGATTCAAATTCTCCAGTTTGGTCGGTCTCTTAAAGGAATAATTTTAAGGTTATTCCAGGAATAAAAAGGGGAGTGGAAAACACACACGAATCATTCCTGCACCCATCAAATCCTTATTCATTGGGAGCACATGCCCTCATCTCTGTCCTTGTTTTTTTTCTTTTTCTCCTGGGAAACCTTAGGGTCATAGATTTTTCCAAGAGAGACCTGGGATTACCACGTTTGCTCTGTAAGAAGCAGGAGAGGTTCAGAATACCTGTTCCTCTGCATTTTGCCAGTGGGATTTTCCCACTTTTCAGACATCATTTTTGTAGCTGCCCAAGGAAATTTCTGGAGCTGACCCACGACTGAGTACAGAGTGCAGCACAAAGGAACAACCAATCTCCCTCCAAAATATTTCCTGTCCTCTACAGACAGCCTCAAGACTTATGTCCAATATTTTCCCCACCTGTCCACTACTGATTCCCTCATTTTAAGCCCAAAATGTTCATTCTGTCCCCTACATACTAACACAGATATGACCCCAGAGTGTCCATTCTGTCCCCTGTAGGTCTCTGGGGACACAGGGGGGTCCCTTTGATCTCAGGGCCTTGCTCCTGACCCTCTCCAGGGCGGAACAGCTGCAAATCCCAAGGCAGAAAGAGGAGATCTGTCAGACAAACGGCTTCAGAAAAGATTTCTGCAACCTAACTGAGAAGGATTTCCAATCTCCCGGGGAGAAGAGCAGGAACTCACAGCCAACAATACCTGACAGTGCCCTGCAGCCACAGCTCAGCTCACGGACAGACTGGCAATTCCACCATCTAAAAGGAAACAAGACCAAGGAAATGGTGATTTCTTTGGCTTTCAAGTTATTTTCAGTTCTTAAAACAGAAGCAACACTTGCTTTGGAATTGTGTTGGGTGAACAATTGGCAGTGGGCACACGCCAGGGCAATAGTGCTGATTTCACTGATGCTCTCTGGGGCAGGAGCAGCTGAGCTCCTGAGTTCAGTTCCTGCCCAAGGTCTGACCCCAAAATGATCCCCTCCTCTCCACTGCTGATCACCTCCACATTTGCATTCACTGACCTGCAGAGAATCAAACTCCTTTTTAAGCCCCAAAACCCGCCCGGGCAGCCCCAACTGATCACCTCTTTTAATTTTTAAGACAAGATCTTCATTCTCTCTCCCAGAGATCCCCTCAGATTTAACCCCTAAACTTTTCTCTTCCTGCACACCTCTGATTAACTCATTTTTACCTCCAAAGGTTCATTTTCTATCCTTGAGAGTTTCTCAAGTTTTACCCCCAAAGCTTTCCTTACCTGCCCAGGGCTGATGGCCTCACATTACCTCTCTCGGGTCGTTCCCTCCCCTACAAATAACATTCAGTTTTACCCCCACACTTTTCCTTCCTCTACATTTCCCATTTTAGCTTTGTTAACCCATAACTGGGGACACAGGGGGGGTCCCTTTGATCTCAGGGCCTTGCTCCTGACCCTCTCCAGGGCGGAACAGCTGCAAATCCCAAGGCAGAAAGAGGAGATCTATCGGCAAAAGGCTTCAGAAAAGATTTCTGCAACCTAACTGAGAAGGATTTCCGATCTCCCGGGGAGAAGAGCAGGAACTCACAGCCAACAATACCTGACAGTGCCCTGCAGCCACAGCTCAGCTCACGGACAGACTGGCAATTCCACCATCTAAAAGGAAACAAGACCAAGGAAATGGTGATTTCTTTGGCTTTCAAGTTATTTTCAGTTCTTAAAACAGAAGCAACACTTGCTTTGGAATTGTGTTGGGTGAACAATTGGCAGTGGGCACATGCCAGGGCAATAGTGCTGATTTCACTGATGCTCTCTGGGGCATCAAGGCTGGAGCCTCTTGCCTGTGGCTGCTCACACCCCAAAGATTTGGCAGAACTTCTCCCAGTTCAATGCTTTGTCCTGTCCTGAAAGAGAGCAGAGGGAAATTCAGTGCTCTGTGGAAGTCAAAGGCTCCTGGCTCTCACCCTGCTGTTCCCATGGCTCCCCAGAGGGTTCATCCCCAAACACGAGGGGTGGCAGTGCAATAGCCCAGCAGAGGCCCCCATTTCAGGGGCACCATTTCCCCCCCGCAGGGGGTCCCACTCGCGGCACCCTCTCCCCACCCCGGGCCGTGTCCCGCAGTACCTGCCCCGCAGTCTCCGCCTGGTGGACACGGCCGGTACTGCAGCCCCCACAGTGCCGCCGCCTGCAAAGGACCCCCCGCGCCCCCCGGGGCAGCTCCACAGCCCCCCCTGCCCTCTCTGCCGCACAGCCCCCGCCCCGGGACGCTCCTGAAACAGCAGGGACAGGGCTCAGCCTCGCTGCAGCCACGGGACAAAGCAGCAACCCAAGGGAGACCCCAAAATGATCCCCTCCTCTCCACTGCTGACAACCTCAATCTACCTCCAAAGACTCAGTCTCTACCCACCAGATCATCCCAAGTTTAATCCCCTAAATTTTCCATTCCTGTCCACCCCTGCTCACCTCAATATTTTGCATTCACTGCCCGGAGAGAATCAAACTCCATTTTAAGCCCCCAAAACTTCCTTACAAACCACACCCTTTCCGGCCCACACCTTCCTTGAATGGCCCCAGCCCCCCCCGCACGTTCCTTTTATGGCGCTAGCCCCGCCCCACACCCCCTCTTTTTCTGGTTATAGCCCCGCCCCGCACTTTCCTTTTATGGCGCTAGCCCCGCCCCGCACTTTCCTTTTATGGCGCTAGCCCCGCCCCACACTTCCTTTTATGGCGATAGCCGCCCGCTCTTTCCTTTTTTGGCGGTAGCCCCGCCCTGCACTTTCCTTTTATGGCGCTAGCCCCGCCCCGCACCTTCCTTTTATGGCGGTAGCACCGCCCCGCACCTTCCTTTTTTGGCGGTAGCACCGCCCCGCACCTCCCTTTTATGGCGCTAGCCCCGCCCCGCACCTTCCTTTTATGGCGCTAGCCCCGCCCCTCCTGCGCTTTTTATGGGGCAGCCCCGCCCCACATGCGCCTTTTTCGGGCATATCCCCACCCTTCGTTTACCTTTTATGGCCATGGGCACGCCCCGACACTCCTTGTACGGACAAGTCCCTGCCCCTCGGCTCCTTTCATGGCGGCGCCCACCGCCCGTTCCCCCCCCTCCTTCCAGGCAGGATCGGGCACTCCCGGGTTTCGTCGTGCAGAAAGCCCCGTTCTTTTTGGAACCTCTTGCTCCAGCCTTTTTCCCTGGGCGAAGAGGTGAATTAGTCTTTTGAAGGACCCGATGGCCAGAGGTGGGGGAAAAACTAGCAGCATTCCCTAAACACCTCCAGCACTTCCATATCCATCTGCGACCAGGGCCAACCTGGGCTAGGGGAAGGTGTCCCTGCTCAGGGAGTGGGGCTGCATGAGCTTTAAGATCCCTTGCAACCCGAACCACTGCAGGATTCCATCACCATTCCACCATTTCTCCCTGCATTTGTTGTGCATCGCTTCCTCTCTGATTCAAATTCTCCAGTTTGGTCGGTCTCTTAAAGGAATAATTTTAAGGTTATTCCGGGAATAAAAAGGGAAGTGGAAAACACACACGAATCATTCCTGCACCCATCAAATCCTTAGTCATTGGGAGCACATGCCCTCATCTCTGTCCTTGTTTTTTTTTTTCTCCTGGGAAACCTTAGGGTCATAGATTTTTCCAAGAGAGACCTGGGATTACCACGTTTGCTCTGTAAGAAGCAGGAGAGGTTCAGAATACCTGTTCCTCTGCATTTTGCCAGTGGGATTTTCCCACTTTTCAGAGATCATTTTTGTAGCTGCCCAAGGAAATTTCTGGAGCTGACCCGCGACTGAGTACAGAGTGCAGCACAAAGGAACAACCAATCTCCCTCCAAAATATTTCCTGCCCTCTACAGACAGCCTCAAGACTTATGTCCAATATTTTCCCCACCTGTCCACTACTAATTCCCTCATTTTAACCCCAAAATGTTCATTCTGTCCCCTACATACTAACACAGATATGACCCCAGTGTCCATTCTGTCCCCTGTAGGTCTCTGGGGACAAAAGGGGGGGTCCCTTTGATCTCAGGGCCTTGCTCCTGACCCTCTCCAGGGTGGAACAGCTGCAAATCCCAAGGCAGAAGGAGGGTGATCTGTCAGCCAAAGGCAGACAAACGGCTTCAGAAAAGATTTCTGCAACCTAACTGAAAAGGATTTCCAATCTCCCGGGGAGAAGAGCAGGAACTCACAGCCAACAATACCTGACAGTGCCCTGCAGCCACAGCTCAGCTCACGGACAGACTGGCAATTCCACCATCTAAAAGGAAACAAGACCAAGGAAATGGTGATTTCTTTGGCTTTCAAGTTATTTTCAGTTCTTAAAACAGAAGCAACACTTGCTTTGGAATTGTGTTGGGTGAACAATTGGCAGTGGGCACACGCCAGGGCAATAGTGCTGATTTCACTGATGCTCTCTGGGGCAGGAGCAGCTGAGCTCCTGAGTTCAGTTCCTGCCCAAGGTCTGACCCCAAAATGATCCCCTCCTCTCCACTGCTGATCACCTCCACATTTGCATTCACTGACCTGCAGAGAATCAAACTCCTTTTAAGCCCCAAAACCCGCCCGGGCAGCCCCAACTGATCACCTCTTTTAATTTTTAAGACAAGATCTTCATTCTCTCTCCCAGAGATCCCCTCAGATTTAACCCCTAAACTTTTCTCTTCCTGCGCACCTCTGATTAACTCATTTTTACCTCCAAAGCTTCATTTTCTATCCTTGAGAGTTTCTGGCATGTACCAGACTGACAGTATTCCTGGCCTCTTTTGCCCTATTCCTATAGCCCACCGTCGTTGCTGTGCCTTTGGGACTCCTTCATATGACACACTGCTGGAAAGCGTGGACCACGTTGTGTGGAAATCTACACAAACAGTCCATCTGATAGCCACATTCACGCTCACTTACCAAAAAGGGGGCTTTGGAGGAGAAAAGATTATGGTTGTAGGCAGAGAGCTGGGCATTTCTATTGCTGTACTCTCCCAGAATGAAGCTTTAATCCGCATCTCTCCTGAACCTTTACCCCTTGGTTCATGCCTCTTGACATCAGCACTACAGGTACGTGAAAGCTGGATTGGCTTTTCAGCCAGAAAAAAGTCTTTTAAATATTTGAAGGTTCTTAACATGCCCTCCTAAACCTTCCCCTTTGTTCTATAGGCTAAAGAAACTTCACTACTGTGTCTGAAGAATTAGAGAAAGTGCAGGCAAAGAGAATTTTAGAAAAGGCAGGCAAAGAGAATTATTCCTATGCTCTCCTCCGGACATGGTTTGCACCGTTCCTGATTTTAATTCCCCTCAAACTGTGAACATGAAAAACAAAAAAACCCACACCACACAAAAAAACCCCACCACCTACAAAAACAAAACACAAACAAAAGCAACCAGATGAACAAACAAAAACCCGAAAAACTAAACCAAGCAACCAAAACCACACAAAACTCAAAACAATAAAAAGAAAACAAACCCCAAAAGTAAAGAGGACGCGCAGCTGTGGAAAACTGCGTTCGGCACACGCAGCCTGCCACTGATCAGCAACCAAACAAGACCAGAGCAAGATCTTCTCTCCTGAGTGGCTTGTGTTACCTTTCAAAGCTAGCCACTTCCTTAGCCATTCAGCTCTGAGTGCAACTGAAAAGCAACAAACTTGACTAAAATTCCCAAATGTCTCCAAGTGAAGCCTCCGCTTTCTTTACCTTCCAAGTTGTTAATGAACTGTCCTATCTGTTCGTGTTCTCAAGTGACTAATGTTTCATTACCTCATCTAAACATGTTGTGAGAGAGCCCACAAGCGAAAAGATGAGTAGATGTACAATTTCAAGAGAAAAGTGAAGATGAAAAGTACTGAATATTAAAGAAAAAAACAAACAAACAAACAAAAACAAAACAAGGCACAAATCAGGAAAAAATTCAGTGAAGCAAAACACAGCCTGAACTGTATTGTGATAATATTTTTCAAGGAATTGCAAAATGCCCAATTCTACTTTGGCCCGGTAACGGGATCTATGGATAGCTTCCAGTCCTACCAGTGTGAATAAATATTCCTCGTGATATCAATCCCAGATAAAGAAGTGGTTTCCCCTTAGCAAGAAAATAAAGAACATGTGCAAAACCTTGAAATCCCAGGTGACCGCATTCTTTATTCTTACTGGAACTCTCTTCTACCTTTTCCTCCGGGGAGTCCAAGTGAGGTGGACAAGATGAGGCCGGGATCACAGAACTCTGAAATTGAACTGAAGAGAAAACATTTTAACAGCTGCTCGAGGCCACTCATTAAACCAATAAACCAAGAATTCTCTCAAGGACCTCGTGTGTCACTGAGGGGGTTGGGGGTGGGGAGGGGTGGGGAGGGGGAATTCTGGACTGGATGAAATGGAGGTGCTGGGGACGGAGTGGACATTTCGGGGTAAAAACGAGGGCAATCGCTGGTGGACAGGTAGGGAAAATCCCAGTCTGGATAAAATGCATTTAAAAACCCACCTGTGAATTCAATCAGCAGCTTTTCTTCCCGTTGCTCCCCAGAGGGATAGGAGCGTGGATTTGGATAGGAGCGTGCTTTGGCACGGCACAGCTGTGGGAGGGTTCCGGCGAAGCAGCCCCCCCATCGCCACGGCGCCGCGAGACCCAGCGGGGTGGGGACGGGACGGGGCGGCACGGCAGAGGGAGAGAAAGGAGTCCAGGACGGTGGAGGGGGGCAGCGGAGCGACAGCGGGACGGGATGGGACGGGGGAAAAGAAGCCGAGCGAGAGCAGGATGGGAGGTGGGAAGGAGAGGAGCGGGAGGGGACATGTAAGAGAACCAAGGGGAGTCCCGCACGCGCGGAGAGCCATGTGCGCAAACCATGTGCAGCTTTCCAAGGAAAAAGGACACCTTCCGGCGGCGAAGCCCCGCCCCTCCGCAAGGAAGGGGGGCGGCGACGGAAAAGAGGGGCGGGGCGGCGCGGCGGCTGGAAACGGCGGGGAGGGTGTGGCAGCGTAGGGAGACTGGGCAGGAAGGGCGGGAGCGGCGCGGGGCCGCGAGCGGGACGGGACTGGACGGGACGGGACGGGACGGGACGGGACGCGACGCGGGAGAGTTTCCGGTCAGGGCGGCGCCATCCTGAGTGTGGGGGTGACGACTTTCGGCGTTTCCCCGTTCCCCCGTGCTGACCGTCCGCCCTCCTCCCTGCTCCTGCCCGGCCTGACCCGGCCCGGCTCGACCAGGGGATCTCCCCCCGGCTCTGAACGGGACCATCCACCCCCCCACCACCCCCCCGACGGTATGGGGAACCCCCAGGACCGTCCGGCCCCCTCCCTGCCTGCACCCGCCCGGCCTGGCCCGGTCCCGCGGCCCGGCCCCGCATGGCCACCGGCCATCTGCCGACCGCTCCGCCGCTCCGACGTCGAAGCACAGCTTCCCGACGGCTTCTCCACGAGGTCGGCTGCACAGATCGGTGCGGCAGCGTTTCCCATTCTCCTGCGAGAGCAGGAGCGGGTCCCTCACCACCCACCACCCAGCTGCCGGAGCGCATGGCCGCCTGCCCGCCCGCCCGCCCGCCATCTTTGTCCCCCGCTCACCGTAATGGCACAGGCGCCGGGGAAAGCTCAAAGTGGGCATGTCCCACTCAAAGCGACTCACGGCAGGATAAGCGGGGCAAAAGTACAATAATCTGGCCAAGGCCCCGGCCCGCCGGCCCTTCCCTTGCTGCCGGCGCCCGCCGGACATGCCGCCAGGGAACGGGCGCCTGGCCAGGCTCGCTGCAGCAGCGCAGCTCCACGCGGCTGCAGCCGGCTCGCCGCGCGGCTTTCCC